CACAGGTATATTGTAATTAACAGACATAGGTAGACATGATAGATACACATGTATGTATTTGGGAAAATTGATTACACACACATACAGCACATGTCCTAGTACTACTGACTTATGGCAGGGTTCTTTGTTCCTTCTGCTCCAACAATCTTTACATCAGGTATGGAGAGTACCGTATAGCGGGTTATTTTCGGTGGTTGAAAATTTCGACTGAAACCAGAAATAGCTTTAGAATAAAAATTCGTTGGTTTTATTTTCGACTAGACAAAAATAATTGATCTGATGTCTTCACTAGCATCTGTAGGACTGATAGCATTAGAAAGAGGTCCCCTGGTCCTGTAGGGTCTGGAAGAGATTCTTTAGAAGGTGAACACCGTTTTCAAAGCCATTCATGCTTGTTATCATGTTATTAATAATTTATTGTGGTCACGCCTATCTTCAGAATTAATTTTCATCAGAATTAATTTTCGTTCAGAATTAATAGCAACGAAACAGACGAAAATAAGCACCAGTCGAAAATTACCCGCTATACGGTATGATAGTGTCTTCAAACTGTAACTCATTCTATGCATACATGTACATATATAATACAATAGCACACCTATTGGTATAACAGACATACCTTGACAATAGTCCATGTCACTATTCTACCATCAGATGATGCAGATATGAAATTAAGATTGCCATTAAGATCATTCTTCTGCCATAAGACATGTAAACATAAATGTAGGTGTATATTGATACAATACAGTTTATACAAGTACATAAGTGTTAACCACATATAGTCGAAATAATACTGCATATAAAGCTACAGCCTAAAGGCCTCCATACACTAGGCAACATGTTGCTGGCAACTTCTGTGGTCACTTTGATCTTGTGTCTAAGAATAGAATTCTGTTCTATTTTTGGAACAAAATGATTACAAGATCAAAGTAACCACAGAAGTTGCTAGCAACATGCTGCCTAGTGTATCGAGGCCTTAACTTTGGCTGTGAATAACAGATAGATTCATGATTCAGAAATTACAATTTTTGAATGGGTTATACATGTATAACCCTGCTAGTACATTAATATTAATGATGAATATTGATGATGCCTTTATATTAATACAATTAACACAACATAGCATTCACTTATTAGTTTATTTCTTAGTTTACCTGCCACACAGGGTCACTGTGCTTGCCTGACTTTGCTGTTGATCTAAACACAGGAGTCTTTTCCTTCTCCTGTAAGTTGTACACTGCCACTGATCCTAAATACAATCAAGGAAAAGGAAATACATTATATACTGTACATGTACTAGCTGCCAGCTCATGTATCAGTGTATGAGACTGGTTACCATCATAAAATCCAGTAACAGCTAGTGAAGAGTGTTGAGGGTGTATGTCCATGCACATCACACCAGAATGGACTGGATATATGTACCTATTGTAATCAATCACTTTACATGCATCACTCTAACACTCAGTGTCATGCACAAGCTAATGGGATTACTGTATAGCAGGAAATTTTGGAGGTGATTAAGGGTGCTGCCTATAGCAACAATTATTTTATGCAGGAATGCTTAAGCCATACAAGTGTCCCATATAAGAATCTTACTAGGTTCTTTATGCTCCTCTAAAAATGGGTTTTATTTTAATGAAAAACCTTTAAGAAAGGGACTGGAAATAAATAAAGCTGTAAAATGAAGTTTAGATTTTGAAATTGGTGTTTTATGCCAGAAAAATGTAAAATTTCGAAAAACTTTGCCTGTAGTAATCAGAATCAGACCAAATTTACAATATAGCCTCTTTACATGATTACACATACAGTAACATAGAGATATTTCAATTAAACAGGGCTAATATAGGAAAATGTGGTGTTGAGCAATATGAAAATCAAACTAAGTGGCATTACTAGTAGAAAAGGAGAAATATCTCTATGTTAATCAATTTGTTTGGTTAAAAACTGCCTTCACCTAGAAATCTGGTTATTCAAATCGAAAGTAAGAGGAGTTTTTTGCTTTTGAAAAATCTTTAGTATTTTAGCTCTTGATGCCATAGCTATTATGAGTTAAAGGCTCCAAGGTAGCTTACTAACTTATTTAGTTACTGTCTTGTAACTAGTACTGGTTTCATTATGATTGGTAAAGTACTTTGGGAGAAACAGCTCCCTTAGCAACAGATTAAAAAATTTGCGTGGGCGGTGGTGCAGCACCCTTAAACTTGGTAATTTTGACATTTTGATAGCCATTCGCCAAAATAAATATCCCCCATTTTGAGCCATTTTACGCATGCTCAATGGCACATGGCCACGAATTAGCCAGATTAAATTTCGCCAATCACCAAAATTCAGCAGTTCGCCAAATTTTAGTTCTTCCAAAATTTCCCATTATATCTGGTGCTCAATGTGCACAATGTACATGTAGTGTGTGTGTGTGTGTGTGATGCCTTACTCAGGAAAGGAAGGATTCTTTAAAGAATAAAAGCATATCAATCCACCAGTCTGACTAGTGAAATCATCTACACAACGAATTCTTTATTAGCTTTCCACCTTCCACATTATCCCCTATTTTCTCTCTCATTCCTCCTCCCTCTCTCTCTCTCTCTCTCTCTCTCTCTCTCTCTCTCTCTCATACATGATCCATATCCAACAGCAAAGAGGTCCTGATACTGTCTATTCCAACAGACAGCAGTCACTGCCATCTTGAGTGCTTTCTCATACTTGAACCTCCACAAAGGCAACAGGCTTCCTTTACCATCCTTATACTCATCAGCAGGATCATCATAATACTTGAAATCTATTGAATAGAAAACAATTAATACTGATACTGTACTATAACACCAGGTGACATGTATACATGTACATGTACATAGCATATAATGCTCTACCTTGTGCAATCTCATCAAAGCTATTCTGATTCACCATCCTCTCCATTATAAGAGCGGCACGAGCTATTCTACCCACATCATCACTCTGAGAGACAAAAAGAGAGAATATATTATAATACAGGCTCACAGTAAATGTGACAGTCTACATGTAGTGTACCTGGAGGTCCATGCCTGATGTCTTCTTTGTTTGAGTCTCATCTTTACCTCCAGCACCTTTGGTTGACTTCTTCTCTTTCGCTTTCTCTTGCTTTGCCAAGTCATCAAGATATGCATCAAAAATCTCCATCTAAAGACAAAACAAAAATAAACAATGACTGCTCATCAAATAGAGGGAGCTAGGAGACCTGATTGGCCGTAGCTGAGAAGTTAATTCTTGGTGGTGGTTCGGTCATTGTAGA